TATAATACGTTGCAAAGTATCTGCACGAAGTTTTTTTACTACCGACTAAATTATATGCCGTTCATTTATCTTGATTTATGGAATCATCTGGTGATGTGTGGTCATTGATGATTATGGATAACCGTTTAGAGTTTTCAAGCATCATTCGTGTCATTCACGCAAAAAGGGGCATGTCACAGTACTCATGAGATACTGTGTGTGGAGTTCACTACAGAGGAAAATGGCACGCAGCAAAAAGATCTTTGGAAACCGACAGAACCCTCGGGTAATTGATGGTAAAATAGAGATAATGAGATCATCTGGAACTATTCCCAAGAACACTTCCCTTGGAAGATATGGTACTAAACACAGAGAGAACTGAAGTCCATCCGCAGACCCAGATGCTCCAAGTGAACCGTGATATTGCGGCTATCAACAATCCGAACTCAACTTGGTACAAAAATAACCGGCTCTGGCTCTCACCTGGTGTTAATTGGTTACCGAGGCCCACAGACGTCTACAACGTAAATGCCGCCACCCACCTTGAGACATGACTTGTAAGGTCTTACTTTTTTTACAGTACAACGGCTGCCCCACCCTTCAAACCGAAACGCATTAATGCTTCACGGCAGAAATAGGCGGGGTGGTGGTACCTACCCGTGCGGAGTCACAAGACGTCCTACCACCAGTAATTTCAATAATAAATTCAATTTCACATGGTAAATTGCAGCAAAACCGGTTAGAATATATACTTAGTTTGGCCATAAATACTGTTACAATTAAAAATAAATAAAATATTACATTTGAATTTGGAATCTGTCATTTTTATATGATTGCTCATTGAGTTTTCTCATTTTGGCGCCAAGACATTGTACAATATTTTGCGATATTAAAATGGAGTGAGGTGATAAAGAGAACCGAATCGCTGTGATTGCATTACACAAAGTAGGTATGGAGCCAAATGCAATTTTTAAAACTCTCCATAGGATTGGTATTAGTAAAATGTTTGTGTACCGGGCTATTAATAGGTGTAATGAGACCTCCTCTGTTTGTGACAGAAAAAGATCTGGCCGTCCACGTAGTGTTCGTACGAAAAACGTGGTCAAAGCAGTAAGGAAAGAATTCGAAGAAATCCTGTCCGAAAGTAAAAGATTTTATCTCGGGAGATGAAGATAGCAGAACCTAGCACCTAGAACCATGTCGCGTATTTTAAAAGATGACTTAGGACTTGCAGCCTATAAGAGACGTACTGGTCATTTCTTAACTGATAATTTAAAAGAGAATAGGGTGGTAAAATCGAAACAACTACTCACCGCTTCAGTAGGGTTGAAGGGTTGTGAGCTAAAGGATGACGTATGATAAATGACGGCGAAGTAATAATTCTTGCGGCGTGACCTAAAAATAAACGGAATTATAAAAAAAAGTATTTCAGTTCAATCAATCAATTATACAATCAAATAATCAATTATTTCATAGGTAATGCTACGTTCTACATGCTATTAAGCATGCTCTGAAGCTGATTTTTTTATAGAGCTTCAAAATGGGGATTGAAATTAAAAGCATACCTTTTGTTTGGGCCCAAATTAGCTCAATGACGTTATATTGGCAATGGTAGGGTGGTAGTGGAAGGACTTGGTGGCTTTTTTCCTTTGCCATCTTGTCCAGAGGATAAGTAGGATTTTGTGGCTTTATGGCTTATGACGCCGGACTTAGGCAATAAGCTCCGACTATAGCGTTTTTATATCTGCTGTAACACCGTTTTCACTAAGCCACTTCACCAACTCGCTTTTGCGGTTGGATTGGTTTGGGAGTTTATTAACTTGTACCGAATGGTAGGGTGCGTTGTCCATTATTATGGTCAGAAGCTCTTGTAAACTATTTAATAGACCTGTGAACCAATCTTTGAATTTTTCGTAGTTCATCTCCTCATCATACTCTGTATTTTTATTTGATTTAAAGGCTAGCAAACAATTAGGGATGAATCCACTTGCTGCCAGCGTGACAAATAATAAGGCGTTCGCCTTTGCCTTCCCGCACTTTGATACACGATTGTGGCGGCCGGTCGGTCTAACTTTTATCCACCGTGTGGTTGGCGTTTAGCCACGTTTCATCCAAAACGACAACTTTGCTCCAATCACTTAGGTTTTGGTCTTCCTTAAAAATGTACATCTTGCTGGGGCAATGTCAGTTCTGTTCATAATAATCTTCCTTTTGTTAACTTTTTTTGTAAACAAAGCCAATATCTTTTATAACTCTCCGCAACGAAGTAATACCTCCCTTAAACAAGTCAGCTCCTTTCAATGATTTTAGAAGCTTGAGTAATGTAGACAGCTCCGTTCCTCTATAAAAATCATAAATATGATTTCTAATAGCATCCTTAGCAAAATCATCTAAATCTGTGATTGGTTTCACCTTGGTCCGTTTTTTGTTGGGTGTCGATAATTGATTTCCACACATCTCTTTCTTGGCCAATTTTCTCACGTGATATACGCGAAACAGTATTGCGGCCAACATCAAAAGCTTCGGCTACTCGTTACATAATTCGAAAATATATAGCGAGTTAGCCCCCGGATCTTCTCAGTGGGTCGCGTTTCCGATCCGGTGGTAGATTCTGCGAAGCACTGCTCTTGTTAAGGCTAGTGTTCGCAAACTAGCCAGGCTGAGCCCCGTGAGCTACTCGCTCGTTTAATTTATAACATTTCGAAGTTTCTAGAACTAACATCGAGATCGACATGCTGCTATCTTGAAATCCCGCGGTCCAGTTTAATGTGAAGGGTACATCCCCAAATCTCTCTCTCTCTCTCTCTCTCTCTCTCTCTCTCTCTCTCTCTCTCTCTCTCTCTCTCTCTCTATCTCCCTCCTCCCCCTCTTCCTTACCCCTCTCTCGGTCTCTGGATCTGGTAACTATGAAAGTAATGAATGCAATCATAAACGCTAAAATAGTTTCCAAATCGTGTCTGCGACTTGCGAAGACCTAACATATTACTATTATTTAAACAGTTGTCTTNGTTAAATTAAATAAAATATGATTTATGATTTAAGTTCCTAAACAATGTGAACGGAGTCGCGACATGAACGCTCTGTGATAAAAAAGACAAAAGGATAATTGTTGTTTGGCTTACTAGCTTATACTATAATGGTTCAATTTAGTCGAGAGCTTGAACAGCATCTGTTTAAATAATGCTAACATGCACCATCAGTCTTGTTCGTCCACAGGGCGAGACGTGTATTTCTAGAAGCGGCAATAGCCTAATGGGTAAGGCGACCAGTGCACACGTCTCGAATGCCAGACGACTCAAGTTCCAAATACGCACGGTCTGTTGCAGAAACGCATAGATACGATACATTATTTAATACAATCCGCTAATAGGATCGAATCCAAGTTTAGAAATATTAAATAGATGGCGTCGGTAGTTTCGTTAGCTGCTTGCGGCACGGCAAACCCGGCACGCATTGTGTTCTCATATATTATATTGTATACCTAATACATTAATTAACCTACAATATATAATAAAACGTTAAAAAATTTAATCTAATATTTATTTGTAATTTTACATAATATAATCATAACGCAATAAATAGGTACCAAGCTAAACAGCACATACATAGCTTTTGTAAGATATTATAGTGATATTAGTAGCTAAAAATATTTATGTATATGTTTTTATTCATTTTCATTTCCAATTTTATACTTACGACACTTTCTAAGCCCTTTCTAGGTCTTACTCAGCAGTTTTTTTACTACCTATTCGCTGATAGCCTGCGGGTTTATTCCAGCGGACGGGTAGGCGAGCTCACGGGCTCAAGCTGAGAGATCTTGCGAACACCAGCAAGCTATGCAGGCAACCCTAGCAAAAGCCGTGCTTCGCAGAATCTATCACCGGATCGGAAACGTGACCCACTGAGAAGATCCGGCGAAAAACTCGGTTGTGTCTGAGACTGTATCTGAGCATTTATTATTAAATGCTATTCCTAATTATATCATTCGTTTATTACATAATTAATCGGAATATCCCCGCATCGCACCACGACGATGTTCCACGCCAAAGCAGCTTGGTGGAACATAGATAATTTCGAAGTGCAGCCCCCTCAAATTATTAACGTACAATTTAAACAAATGATCTGGAAGGAGGTGAATGGTTGCATCCTCGTCTAATAATAAATATAGCTTGTCCTTTGTTAATAATAATATAGCACGACGCGTCTCGGGGAGATAAAAGTATAGCAGTCACCGCACATGCGCTGGTTTAGATAAATAACTGTCGTTTTATGTTGTTGTAATTATTAGAGTCAGTATTGCATGTTACAAAAATAATAGAAGGCACAGGCCCGACCCAACTCGTGCTTACAAAACTAACGCATCCAGGCAAGGCTCTTACTTCACCACTTCCCTCGGCCTTTGCTCCATTTGTCCTTGCCGCGACGGCCCGAGTCGATGTCATATCTGCACACGCGAATACGGTCTACTACGTTCGTTTAGAAGACCAAAAACTGGTCCATCAACCACGTTTTTTTCCGTGCAGGGAGCCCAACCTCATACGTGAGGTTTCTGTGCTTAAGGAGCAAACGGGTCTTGATGGTCAGATGTTAGGGACAGACCGCAGGCCCAAGTATGTTTTAGGGCCCTACTCACCAAATGCACTCTCTCACCGAACGCCCAATCTCGGGCCAGGGTCAGAACTCAGTCAGAGTAAGGGGTTCCCGCGGTCAACACTACAACCAGACTCACGACGCCACAACCACGCGGCAAGAGCCCTTCTTCGGCCTAAAGCTCAGCGGCGACGGATAGGTGCAGAGAGGGATCAGCTCTCCCTCCCTCGTTCCGCCGCCTCGCGAATTTTGCACGACAACCGGATCAGAGAGAACCCTTCCGGATAACGAAGGCAACTGTAGCTGACTACAGCTGTCTGAACAATAGTGTTCACGATATGTGAGGTAGTAATATATTTTCACACACTTAAAAGCAAATGATTGCGATGCTCGTACGAAATTGGAAATAAAAAGCTTTTCATGAAAATGCAGACATATTTCTTTTTTTACGATTATAAAAAAACTATTTTTTAACATGACGTAGGTACTTTCACTATATCTTCTTAAAGTATTATTATATAAGCAATTTCACAAACAAGGAGGTACTAACAATGGTGTCATTGACTTAAGAGTCATTTTGAATTTACGAACCACAATCAAACAAAAAGTATTTACGCTTATCTTTGGAAATGTATTTAATTTTACGCCTAAGTTACGGAAGTTGTTTATTGCCACATCGAGAACATCTCCTTAGGCTGGCTTGACTCAGAAGGAGAGACATAGAAACTAAACGAATAACACGCGGATATTAACTTGTCCTAAGAATGAGGCACTGACGGCTTTATTTCCTTACTTCTAATTACTAGAAACCTAGATAAGATTCTTCTCACCAACCTGACGCAAACATGTTATTACATAAAAACCCTTAATCACCATCATCCCTCACGTCATAATCCTTCATCTCAAAGGCTTCTTCGTGATTAGCAATAGTATGTCCCCTAAACTCATCTTCGATTCGTTCTAGAGTTTTATCTTTCGTTTCCGGTAACAAAATTAAAGTAACAATCAAACTATAAGAATGGATCAAGGCATACAAAGAGAAGGCCCCGTCAACACCCACCGACGAGAATAAATATGGAGCGGATTTGATGTTCACAAACATGTAAACGGAGCAAAATATTCTAGAAATTACCGAACAGAAACCTCTGTCTGCTAAAGGGAATATTTCGCCACCAATGATTATCGCCAATGGCATGGACCCAGTCCCGATAATGAAGTAAAGAAAGTGGTGGAGAAATAAACTAATCGCCCAATGATCGAACGGAAGAAGACCGTGTTGTCTGGCGTAGACGTGTCCAGCTATGCACAGATCTGTCACTATGTTCAGCGACACGAACACTAACAGCATGGAGCGCCTCCTCACCCTGCTGGTGATGTAAACGGCCGACACAGTGGCCACAAGTCTCAGAACATCCAGAGACGTCATTACTTTGAACATGTACACATCGGTACCATACAATGCTGTGTGGACGTCTAAGGCATACATATCGCAGACCAAGGAGCCGCTAAATTGCATTATAGCGCTTAAGTGCATCATAATCAGAACTGGAATGCGAAATTCTTTCTTTTTGAATGCAGTGACACCATATGCCAGTTTATTCTGAATTAATTTCGACACATTGCAAAATTCAACCTTCTTGGTTTCTTGAAGTATCATATTAGTTTTAATCATAGTTTCGAGTTCATCATCCTCATCAGTTCCTCTCAACCAGCGAAAAATCTTCCTGCATTCATCGTAACGTCCCTTAGTTACCAGAAAACTCGGTGATTCTGGTGAGAAAACAATTGCAATTAATCCGGGTAAGGAGAAAAATAGTAGTATTATACATAATTGGTGCCAGCCGTAAAACATTCCAAAAGTATGTGAAATAAATATGCCCAACAATAAACCAGTTGGTATCGTCGCTATGAAAGAGCCCCTGTATTTGGGACTACTGTATTCTGCAATTAAAATGCTTCCGACATTAGTACCGATTCCGGCTGATATTCCTTGAAATAATTTCGCTATGAACAAAACAGGAAAAGACGAAGCGAAACTGAATGATGTCCATCCACAGATCATGAATATCGAACTCATGAGAACCGCTGACCTTCGACCGATGGTCTCCATAACTAGTGAACCGATGACAGATCCCACGAAAAGCGTTATTCCCATCATAGATGCTGAAAAGAAACGTTAAAATTTAGTGTAGTCTTTTTGGTGGATTAATTTGATAAAGAGAGTGGAACCTCTCCCACTGAGGAAGCCCGAGTAGTAATACAATCTATTTTGATATGATAGCGATTACCATCACTATCACAAAGACAGGTAGCCACGGAGAGCTCTCACCATTTACATAGAAGTAGTGACTTAAAAGACAAGACGCTCGGTACTTTCGTATCAAGCGATGCAACAGTGCCGGTGTTCAAATCACGCTAAGAAGTACCAATTTTATTATTTAAACTAACGTATTTTCCAAATGTCTTCCACAGTGAATGGACAATGTGTCATGTGGCATAAATATCAAATCCGTACAATTATAGTTTGCGTTATTACCGATGGTACAGCGTCTAGTGTGGCCATGGCGGTATTCAAGTTATTGCTGACTATGGGCTCCGACAACACCAGGTGGGCCGTCAACTCAAATAAAATCACATCTCAAAATAATATTCTGCTATTTATTCTGCGCAATGAGTACCTACTGACGAGAAAAGCCATTCATTGGCCTCGGAGCGCTGCTTACTACCTTCGAATTTAATTGCGAGCTCATGATATATGAAATTTCCGAAAAACCATTTTGTATCACTAGTTTAATAAGTGAATAATATTTTCAGTATATTTAAGTTTCAGTTTAACCCAGTCGATTTATATACACACGATATTAGCATGCTCTTCAATTAACATAGATTGTGAGAGCGCATAACGTTTTTATATCATTGTAATTTCCCAATGAATATTTGTTGTTACTGTTTACCATAATTTTAAATGATAATATTTGCGCAATCTCTTAAGGTTTATTTAGATGCCTATTCACAAAAGTTTTTTGTTTTATCATAAGTGCGATTTAATTTAGAAATGATCATACCCAACCAAGATTCGGAATGTATGTCCAAAGCTATCTCCCGTGTCTTCCTAAGTTCAGAGAACAACGTAGCGTTGTATCCAGTCGTCAGCCCATACGAGATCATGTTCAAGATCACACTGGAAACCACAAAGCACTGTAAAAAGAGTTTTAGTGAAATTTAGCTTTTTAAACACAACAACATTCCTTTAAAGGCATATAGCGAAGAGTTGCATATAGAAAAGGAATATCTTTCGGCCGAAATCATTAGAAGGTTGAATTTTTAATCGAAAGTACGTGATCTACGAATTTACTTTGCCTACGTTATTATTATTATTATTGTTAATTACAAGACAATATAAAATACAAATCGGCGCTATAACTACAGTCATTTAGCGCCAACGCCTATTTGTATTCAGAGATTATTAAAATGCAATATTGATCTGTGTCTTGTCGCGACAAATCTGACAGTTAAGATAAGGAACGCGGCCACTAAATATTTCGGTTCCGACAGTGGAAAAAATCCCCCTGAAACCTGCTTTAGCTTTCTTCATTGAAAAACTAAGCTAAGCTATACGTTAGAACTTAAAAAATTGTAGGTATATTAACACGACGACGATTCCTTTCTATCAGTCTTCCCGGCAGGGCGTCGATACTGACAGCCAACTATTTTTAGTAGGATATAATGTTTAATACAAACGATGGCATATTGATAGTTAACATGACATTGCCACGCAATTTTATTTTTGATCTGAACCACGACGACACTGAATGTTTTATTATTAATATTATAATATTTTTTTAAACAGGTATTTTACCTGTTTCGCAGATGGCGTGGAACATCTTTCGTAACGTGTTCGAAGAGACATGCTCATAAAATAACGAACAACATAAAACTGATCGTGGATGCAATAAAAATAAATAGTCATTTAAGATATCGAATATTTAAACACAGTTACATACTGAAATACGGCTTACGCTATTGGATAAATATTATCAACGATATACTCACACGTATTTATATACAAAATACTGAACTATTTCTTTTATTTGGATTTATCTTAATTAATAATTTTATACTTGGCGGAGCGACTGGTGACGGTCCGACTGGGCCGTGTGGTTTTTGCAAATGATGACGTCAACGATGCTGACGTCATTTCTTTTCATCAATGTCATTGCCTTTCACACATTGGGTCTCCGGAGACCGGGGTATATCATTGATATACAAACTGAACAGTAAAAGGGAGAGGGCGGAGCCTTGCGGGACTCCGGCTGTAACGTGACGGGGGCGATAGCGCGTACCCTCGACTCGATATCGGAACGAACGGTTCGACAAGTAATCTCGTATGATGAGGTGCTGTACGACAATAGTAATTCGTACTTATAGTAGAACATTGGGGGTAGTTTGTTCATAAATTTTCCTGAACACCGTCTTAAACAATTGCTTACATGCGTTGGACTTATAACAGTTAACCAACAATTTTAACGTTGAGAAAACCGTTAACTCTAACCAAACTTAGTTATCTAAATAGCAGCCTTGCGCCGTTACCCTATTTACCGTATATTACAAGTACTTAATTCTATTCGACTTTAAATATAATAAATAAAAGAGTGGATATTCGATTCGGCTTTTTTTATGTTCTAAGGTTATAATGACACTACAATATTGTTTAGATATTGCTTTAATGGATGCTTTCGAGTCGATTTTATCTCGTGCCACCACGCAGGTCTTCATAATGATGATTCCTGATGATGAAATTCGGAAGGTCGCATGTCGTGAACATGTTAAAGATATTCGCAGTAGAGTCAATATCATGTGAAATATGTGGAAACGAAGTCGCAGCTATATTGCTGTATATAAAGCACAAACTTGTTTGCATTAAAACAATAGCAAATTGTAAATTAAGATTAAGAACAACTGAATAAACGATGCGTTGTTGATTGCATGTGGATGCAACCGTTCAGGAGAGGGAAATATTTCTTTATCTCTTTTCTTCATATACGGTATGATAATTGGCTTGTTGCGATTCTATTGCCTTTGTAGATATCTTCATTTACTTGTTAATAAATTATGTACATACATTTTTTTTTTTTATTGCTTAGACGTGTGGACGAGCTCACAGCCCACCTGGTGTTAAGTGGTTACTGGAGCCCATAGACATCTACTACGTAAATGCGCCACACACCTTGAGATATAAGTTCTAAGGTCTCAGTATAGTCACAACGGCTGCCCCACCCTTCAAACCTTCACATATTTTGGTATATGAATAATTATTGAGATCAAAATGAGATGAAGTTGAAAATGAAACGACATGAAATGAAACTTCACTGAATTTTTTTGGAAGAACCTTATGAATCACGTACAGTGGCTTTGTTTCGTTTTCTCAGACTTGTTTATTTAGTAATCTGTGCTTGTGCTAAAAAAATAATAAAACACCGTTATTACACATTTGAACCCGAAGAAACACTAAATTAACAAAATAAAACAATTCAAACATCTTCGCTAAGCTCATTCTCCAGTTACCAATCAACGTTGAATCTACACAAAGTACTTAAGGGGATAAGATTCGAGCAAAACACCTCAAACTTGACAGCGGCTCTACGATATATTTGGAAAGAAGAGCTACCTCTCACTCTCCGCGGTCTCCTTTTGCGAGATCATAGATTCGCAGTTGAGCATCGCCTTTCATGAAGTCTTGCGCAATCGAACATGAGGACTGGCAGTGCCATATTGAAACCTACTGGTGGTAGGACCTCTTGGGAGTCCGCACGGGTAGGTACCACCGCCCCGTCTATTTCTGCCGTGAAGCAGTAATGCGTTTCGGTTCGAAGGGTGGGGTAGCCGTTGTAACTATACTGAAACCTTAGAACTTATATCTCAAGATGGGTGGCGCATTTACGTTGTAGATGTCTATGGGCTCCAGTAACCACTTAGCATCAGGTGGGCTGTGAGCTCGTCCATCCATCCGAGCAATAAATATATATATATATATTCCTGAAAAATACCTGAAAAAAAATCTATTTTAACGAATCTAGCTGTAGGATTGAAATGATTTTAATAGACCTAGAAATATATATTTTTTGCGCATCGAATATGGTTATTGCCTATCATTTATGTGTACATAGCAAGCAGTTATTGTTGCTTAGACACGTTTGCCTTTCAAGCGTCGATAATCGATATACAACTTCATATTTGAGAGGTTGGAGCGGCGAAGTTGAAAATTGTTCTATTTTATAAATTTTGATTTATCTTCGAGCTCAAGCGTGTAATTACACTAGTTTAATTATGAAAAAAAAACGTAATTGATGTATGTGGGTTTCGATATCAAAGTCAAAACTTTAAATTTTTTTTTTTTTTCAAATTTCTACCAATTTAGTGGTAGGTTATTTAATTTTATTTCACTCAAATCTTACGGTATTGTTTTATTTCATCTCATTTAATTTCATTCATAATCATTTTATATCATTTCAGTTTGCTTTTCATAAAAAAGATTTGAGTTTAAAATTTATTTCCCAAGAATTGGGTCTATTAGCTACGTTCCCTTTGCCTGGCCATTGGAAACAGCAAAGAGAAATTAACCACTTTGACACATTGACGTATTATTAACAATGAAGTATAGGTCTATGATTATTAATAATTTGTAACATTGACATTTGTTCATGTTCGTTGCATTCAAAAAATCTTTTATAAAATACTACATTACATACTTGTGCCGAGCCAAAATTAAGAAGAAGAAGAAGAACATTACATACTACATAATATGTAGAATTTATTGAGCTACCTTGTTAAGTATTTCAATTCTAACAACATGGACGGAAAACTAAAGGAAAATAATGGTAAAAAGCGTAAGTTTTCAGTTAAGGATTATACAGTAATTTAACAATAACGATTGGCATCTCAAATACATACTTATACGATTAATAACTGTCCTATTACAGGCGTTTTTCAGTTGTCTTTGAAGAAGAATAGAAAGAACGTGGATGAAAAACAAAAAAATATGGACAGATGTTCTGATATAATAGTTGTTGACGAGTCTTTTGATAGATTAAGATCCGAATATACGAAAAGTAAAAATAACGTAAGTACCATATATAAAAATGTCCTAAAATTTCTAAATTAATTTTTTATAAGTAGGTAGTATTTTTATAGTAAGACTTATTTTTAGTTGTGAATATGGTTATCTTGAACCTTAAACCAGATATAATCTTACTTAACTAAAATTACTGAGGATGAGGATTCACTACTTATTATTGGTTTTAAAAATGCTACCATAGAAGCAAGATAAAACTGTACCTAAGTTTGCTTACGAAGTTTTGTTTGATTTCAGTTACTCTAATTTATATTTGATAATGAATACTATTTGCATTAAATTAATTAATGAAATATAAGCTAACTGACCTGCTGGTCCTAATTTGATAGTTAATCTCATATGCATTTTAATATAAAATCACCTAACCCAACTCAATAATGGGGTGGAAATTTAATCTAGTTTGTTAAAATTTCTTTCTACTCTTGACCAGTAAAAAGCAACTGGCTTGCATCAGAAATAGGCATGTATTACAATCTAGTGTCAGATCCCAATACATATTACCAGTAACAATACTTGAATTGCTTATTTCAGAATCAAACTTCCACATTAAGTTATTCTCCTATTCTTATAAATGACTCTAGCGATTCATTTAGTGAATTAGCTGAATCAGAAAATGAACCGAGTAAAATGGGCAATGTGAGTATTATTTTTATATATCGTAGAGCTTATCATTCATGTGTGCTCTGAAGATTTTCTAAGAGAATAAACTGCTTGGCTATCATTTTGAAAAGTCAGTTAGGTGACTAACTGAACCACTATTATTTCCCACGTATCCATCTACAGTAGAAGAATTTCTCGAAGTGAATCTAACTACCTTTTTACTACCTTGAATTTCTAAGATGTGTAGAAATTGTAGGCACTGTTAGTAAATCTATATATTGAGGCAGTTCTAGTCTGAAGAGCTAAGTATCTATTCTTCCAATTGGCCTAGAAATTAAAAGTGATTAATCGTTCATCATCATTGAAAAAGAGTGATTCTTTATGAGTAAAATAATAGTTAAGTACTGGCTACTAAAAATATTCTGAGCGAATACTATTCTTTGCAACACAAGTACAATACACAGAATGCAAATGTATTTTATCATTCATTTACCTTTCTGAAGGTTAAAGTTTTTAAAAACTAAATTCATAAGGAAAAATTCACACATTTATTTGACTAACATTGAAGATTTATAAGACAATGTAGAAGTGCAATAAGCAAATAAAAAATTATATACATTATATATTTGATAATTTCAGGTATCTTTCAATGGTTCCAAATCATCTCCGCAGAAAAGCACGAAACAACCGAGTATAGGAGGCTGGTCTCCTGCCCAAAATATTGTATGTGCCACCCCAAGACACGACCAGCCTTCCACTCCAAATGAAATAGCCAATGAATCACTAGATAACTGTTCATTAAAAACAGTTCAGAAATCACAGAAGAAACTCCTGAATGATCTGTATGGAGAAGTGTGGAAGTCCATACCAAGTTTGTTCAAAAGTGTACATCATGGGGAATTCAATGGTGTGTCGAAGAAATTGTACTTTGAGGATGAGGATGATGAAAAGGAAAATATTAGGCAGGACTTAAAGCAGAACAAGGAGCTATACCTTACTGGTATGATGTACTGTTGCTACATTGTGAATGAAATGACATATTGTCAGTTTGCACAGGTCATGTATTCCGGCTTGAAGGGTGGGACAGCAATTGTACAAACAATTGAGACTTCAACCTCATGTCTGAGGGCAAGGGCAGCCCACATTGTGATGAATCGATAAATCCAATTAAGAATTCGGTACATAAAAACGCAAATTGTAGTTCAAAGACATTCTAGAGTTACAGATAATGGTATATACATAAACTTTTTGGAATATACCATAAGTCATAATGTCTAGTGAATAGATATGTTTTTATGCTTACTTCAAATACCATATAATTTTTAAACATTAAACATTCTAATTCACATTATGGAACATTAAGAAAAGCTGAAATCATTTATTTATGTACACACAAAAAAGAAGACATAGTGTAGAGTAATAGGAAAATTATGTAAAAATGTATCATGATTATCATACCCGTAACCTTTTAATTTTAAGACAATTTATTTCAGGCTCTGAAACGAAAACAAGATTGGAGAATAACAGTGATACAGAAAAGAAATCCAAAAAGAAATTGTTCACGGAGAAAATTATGAACACACCGGAAGTTCCAAGGATCAAAAGGAATATCAATTCAACAACTAAGAAAAATACTAAAAAGGGTCTCTCAGTGACCGAATTGGTTATGAGTATGAATAAGGAGCTTGATGTCATAGAGAAGAGAATAAATGATATCTCTGTGACTCCCACAGTTCACAGATTGAGTTTCATGGCGTCGCTGGCAGGTAATAGAACTTCATTTTATGCTCTTACACTGAATTACTACTCACTATGGTCACTGGTAGATATTAAATGTTTTTTTTTTTATTGCTAAGATGGGTGGACGAGCTCACAGCCCAACTGGTGTAGAGTGGTTACTGGAGCCCATAGACATAGGTACCTACCCGTGCGGACTAACAAGAGGTCCTACCACCAGTAAAAAGTTTAGTTTTAATCTCCAAAATTATTTACATTGTTCACTATCCGATGTTGTGATTTTATTTGCAAATTACAAGGCAGGATGCTGTACCATTATAAATATTTTTATTTATTGATTTATAGATAACGTTCCATCGTGGCGCTGTCACCCCGAGGCCCTGCAGTACAAGGATAATTATAAAGCTTTAAAAGAACAATTGACGAGGCGTTTGTTCGAGGAATTTAATCGTGAAGTGTTTGACAACGGCCTGGACGCCGACATGCCCGTGTGCTGGGACACCAGGCTGCGGAGCACCGCCGGGTGAGTGTGGTCCCCAGGCCCCTGAAATTGCGATACTTTAAGACAAATATATGTTTTGTATGGAAACTTGTGCATTGTTAAGGTTAAGGCATTTCATTGTTGTTTAACTAAATACAGAAAGTAGAAAAATTAATATATCATACAAGTCTTTGTTTGTTACAGACAATTGATTTAATTTTATTATTTTGTGTTTTCTGAAAATTTTAAAAATTCTTCGTGATAAATAAAATATAGGATAGGTTATATGTTACTGCCATCTACAGGAGCAATGAGAAATTAAAGCGAAGCCATCTAGTGGCCGACGCCCGTAATTATTGTTGTTGAGTGCTTGAGTTGCTTATCTATAACTAATTTATGTGTATTATCTATGACTGCCCCGGGTCGAACCGCGCTGTGCGGTGCGGAGTTTTTTTTTTATATTGCCTTTGTAGGCAGACGAGCATACGGCCCGCCTGATGGTAAGTGGTTACCGTCGCTCATGGACGTTGCCTACCGTTACCGCGTGTGACCGTCGCTTGTACTGTCGGCAGCACAACAACTAATCGGTTGATAAAGACGTCGAGCGGCGCGCGGATACGCGCGTGCAGCGTGAAGCTGAGCCACAAGGTGCTGGACTCCCCGCTGCGGCTGCGCGACACGCTCGTGCACGAGCTGGCGCACGCCGCCGCCTGGACCATCGACGGACACATCCGCGCCGGACACGGACCGCTCTGGCAGAAGTGGTCAGTATATTTTTATAAAGGATTTTATGACCTGGTAACTAAGACCTTTAAGTCATGTCTTATTTTTGTTTTTATTCTTGTTTTTATGAAAAATGATAATATGTAGTTAAATGAAATGAAATGATGATTAATTTGAGATATCAATCAACTGAGACGAAATTAAATTAAATGAGATGTGATGATATGGGATGAAATATAATCTCAGTAAAATGGTGTTCATTTACTGAAATTTTTTTAGTGGACTTTTTGGAGGATCCCGAGAAGTTACGTCCAGCGGCTTTGTTTCATTTTCCCACATTTGTGCACTGTCACAGATATTAAACAGTTAATAAACCATTGTTATTACACATTTAAACCTGAAGAAACACTAAATAGACAAAATAAAACAAATCACACAACTTCACTCTTTTGGAGTTTACTCCTTTAGAATCGATTTACATATATAGGCCCGGGGTATGAAAATTATGGGGACCAAAATCGTACTAGCATGTCACACGAAATGCGTTATGCGCCTGATTGGCTCCTGATTGCGTGATGCGTGCGCGCGCCAATCAAAATCGTACTAGCATGTCACACGAAATGCGTTATGCGCCTGATTGGCTCCTNATTACAATAAGTAATTATAACATAACAATTTTACAATATTGAAATTCCCGGAGCGAGCAACTCATTCCCACTTTGTGCAATCTTCTAGATAATCATTGACTTTATAGTAAGCTTTATTGCACAGATGTTCTTTAATAGTTTTCTTAAACCTATGTATATGTAGGTTCTGAACATCTTGTGGGATTTTGTTGTACAGGCGCACTTAGAACTTATATCTTAAGATGGGTGGCGCATTTACGTTGTAGATGTCTATGGGCTCCAGTAACGACTTAATATCAGGTGGGCTGTGAGCTCGTCCATCCATTCCTGAAAAATACCTGAAAAAAATCTATTTTAACGAATCTAACTGTAGGATTGAAATGATTTTAATAGACCTAGAAATATATATTTTTTTTGCGCATCGAATATGGTTATTGCCTATCATTTATGTACAAAGCAGTTATTGTTGCTTAGACACGTTTGCCTTTCAAGCGTCGATATACACTTCATATTTGAGAGGTTAGAGCGGCGAAGTTGAAAATTGTTTTATTTTATAAATTTTGATTTATCTTCGAGCTCAAGCATGTAATTACACTAGTTTAATTATGAAATAAAACGTAATTGCTGTATGTGGGTCTCGATATTAAAGTCAAAACTTTTAAATTTTTTTTCAAATTTCTACCAATTTACTGGTAGGCTATTTAATTTTATTTCACTCAAATCTTACGGTGTTGTTTTATTTCATCTCATTTAATTTCATTCATAATCATTTTATATCATTTCAGTTTGCTTTTCATAAAAAAGATTTGAGTTTAAAATTTATTTCCCAAGAATTGGGTCTTATTAGCTACGTTCCCTTTGCCTGGCCATTGGAAACAGCAAAGAGAAATTAACCACTTTGACACATTGACGTATTATTAATAATCTGTGACATTGACATTTGTTCATGTCCGTTGCATTCAAAAAATCTTAAAATAATAAATTACATACTACATAATATGTAGAATTTATTGAGCTACCTTGTTAAGTATTTCAATTCTAACAACATGGACGGAAAACTAAAGGAAAATAATGGTAAAAAGCGTAAGTTTTCAGTTAAGGATTATACAGTAATTTAACAATAACGATTGGCATCTCAAATACTTACTTAACGATTAATAACTGTCCTATTACAGGCGTTTTTCAGTTGTCTTTGAAGAAGAATAGAAAGAATGTGGATGAAGAACAAAAAAATATGGATAGATGCTCTGATATAATAGTTGTTGACGAGTCTTTTGATAGATTAAGATCCGAATATACGAAAAGTAAAAATAACGTAAGTACCATATAAAAAATTGTTCTAAAATTTCTAAATTATTTTTTTACAAGTAGTACAATACTCATTTTTAGTTATGAATATGGTTATCTTGAACCTAAACCAGATATAATCTTTACTTAACTAAAATTACTGAGGGTGAGGATTCACTAATTATTATTGGTTTTAAAAGTGCTACCATACAAGCAAGATAAAACTGTACCTACCTAAATGTCTGCTTACGAAGTTTTGTTTGATTTCAGTTACTCTAATTTATATTTGATAATGAATACTATTTGCATTAAATTAATTAGTGAAATATAAGCTAACTGACCTGCTAGTCCTTATTTGATAATAATCTCATATGCATTTTAATATGAAATCACCCAACCCAACTCAATAATGGGGTGGAAATTTAATCTAGTTTTTTTAATTTATTTTTCCTCTTGACCAGTAAAATGCAACTGGTTTGCATCAGAAATAGGCATGTATTACAATCTAGTGTCAGATCCCAATACAAATCAAATCAAAACATTTTTATTCAACATAAATGAAAGTACATACTTGTTGAACGTCAAAAGAACTACCGCCAATTCACAAGAACTAGCCTCTGTCCTGAGAAGAATTAGCAAGAAACTCAGCGGGCATGTCTTTTTTTTTAAATATGAAAATATTCTATTTGAATTTTTTTAATATTAGTTTTTTTTTTAAATATGAATTTTTTACAATGAGTATTATAACGTAACAATTACTACAATATTGAAATGCCCGGAGCGAGCAACTCATTCCCACTTTGTGCAATCTTCTAGATAATCATTGACTTTAGTAAGCTTTATTGTACAGATGTTCTTTAATAGTTTTCTTAAACCTATGTATATGTAGGTTTTGAACATCTTGTGAGATTTACATATTACCAGTAACAATACTTGAATTGCTTATTTCAGCATCAAACTTCCACATTAAGTTATTCTCCTATTCTTATAAATGACTCCAGCGATTCATTTAGTGAATTAGCTGAATCAGAAAATGAACCGAGTAAAATGGGCAATGTGAGTATTATTTTATATATCGTAGAGCTTATCATTCATGTGTGCTCTGAAGATTTTATTAGAGAATAAACTGCTTGGCTGTCATTTTGAAAAGTCAGTTAGATGACTGACTGATACCACTACTATTTCCCATCCCCCCATATCCATCTACAGTAGAAGAATTTCTCGAAGTGAATCTAACTACCTTTTACTACCTTGAATTTCTAAGATGTGTAGAAATTGTAGGCACTGTTAGTGAATCTATATATTGAGGCAGTTCTAGTCTGAAGAGCTAAGTATCTATTCTTCAAATTGGCCTAGAAATTAAAAATGATTAATTGTTCATCATCATTAAAAAAGAGTGACTTTATGAGTAAAATAATAGTTTGCTTGCCGATTGACAATGGCTGATCACTGAACTCAGTGACATACTACTTGCTACTAACAATATTCTGAGCTAATACTATTCTTTGCAACACAAGTACAATACACAGAATGCAAATGAATTTTATCATTAATTACCTTTCTGAAGGAAAGTTTTAAAAAACTTGAACTTGAGATCTTAGAACTTATATCTCAAGGTGGGTGGCGCATTTACGTTGTGGATATCTATGGGCTCCAGTAACCACTTAACACCAGGTGGGCTGTAAGCTCGTCCACCCATCTAAAGCCACCTATCTAAAAAATATAAAAAAAACAAAATTCATAAGGCAAAATTTACACATTTGACTAATATGTAAGATTTATAAGACAATAAGTGCAATAAACAGATTAAAAATTATATACATTATATATTTGATAATTTCAGGTATCTTTCAATGGTTCCAAATCATCTCCACAGAAAAGCACGAAACAACCGAGTATAGGAGGCTGGTCTCCCGCCCAAAATATTGTATGTGCCACTCCAAGACATGACCAGCCTTCCACTCCAAATGAAATAGCCAATGAATCACTAGATAACTGTTCATTAAAAACAGTTCAGAAATCACAGAAGAAACTCCTGAATGATCTGTATGGAGAAGTGTGGAAGTCCATACCAAGTTTGTTCAAAAGTGTACATCATGGGGAATTCAATGGTGTGTCGAAGAAATTGTACTTTGAGGATGAGGATGATGAAAAGGAAAATATTAGGCAGGACTTAAAGCAGAACAAGGAGCTATACCTTACTGGTATGATGTACTGTTGCTACATTGTGAATGAAATGACATATTGTCAGTTTGCACAGGTCATGTATTCCGGCTTGAAAGGTGGGACAGCAATTGTACAAACAATTGAGACTTCAACCTCATGTCTGAGGGCAAGGGCAGCCCACATTGTGATGAATCGATAAATCAATTGAGAAATCGGTACATAAAATTGCAAATCATAGTTCAAAGACATTCTAGAGTTACAGATAATGGTATATACATAAACTTTTTGGAATATATCTTATGTCATAATGTCTAGTGAATAGATTTGTTTTTTATGCTTACTTCAAATATCAAATAATTTTTAAACATTAAACATTCTAATTCACATTATGGAACATAGGTTTTGTAGATTAATCCATAACCAATTTGAAACACTTAATAAGAAAAGTTGAAATCATGATTATCATACCCGGAACTTTTTAATTTTAAGACAATTTATTTCAGGCTCTGAAACGAAAACAAGATTGGAGAATAACAGTGATACAGAAAAGAAATCCAAAAAGAAATTGTTCACGGAGAAAATTATGAACACACCCGAAGTACCAAGGATCAAAAGGAATATCAATTCAACTACTAAGAAAAATACTAAAAAGGGTCTCTCAGTGACCGAATTGGTTATGAGTATGAATAAGGAGCTTGATGTCATAGAGAAGAGAATAAACGATATCTCTGTGACTCCCACGGTTCACAGATTGAGTTTCATGGCGTCGCTGGCAGGTAATAGAACTTCATTTTATGCTCTTACACCGAATTACTACTCACTATGGTCACCGGTAGATATTCAATGTACGTTATAAGGTCCTTCATTTTGTTCCGCTTACACTGGGTAAATATAAGTGAGCAGTCATTACTGACCATTTGTTATTCATTAAGTTTAGATTAATTGTTTTTCTTATTTATTAAACCTACTTTTACATTTTAATGTAATTTTAATCTCCAGAGCTATTTACATTGTTTACTATCCGACGTTGTAATTTTATTTGCAATTTTTTTTTATTGCTTAGATCGGTGAACTAGCTCACAGCCCACCTGATGTTAAGTGGTTACTCAAGCCCATAGACATCTACAACGTAAATGCGCCACCCACCTAGGGACATAAGTTTTAAGGTCTCAGGTATAGTTACAACGGCTGCCCTACCCTTCAAACCGAAACTCATTACTGCTTCACGGCAGAAATAAGCAGGGTGGTGTTATCTACCCATGCGGACTCGCAAGGCTCTACCACTAGTAATTACGCAAATTATAATTTTGCGGGTTTGATTTTTATTACACGATATTATTCATTCACCGTGGAAGTCAATCGTTAACATTTATTGAGTACGTATTTCATTAGAAAAATTGGTACCCGCCTGCGGGATTCGAACACCGGTGCATCGCTCGATACGAATGCACCGGACGTGCTATCCTTTAGGCCATGACGACTTCACCGCTTGCACGTTCACAGTGTAAAAATAAGTCTTCAGTCATTACTGACCATTAAGCTTAGATTTATTGTTTTTCTTATTTATTAAACATTTTAATTTACTTTTAATCTCCAGAGCTATTTACATTGTTTACTGTCCAATGTTATGATTTTATTTGCAAATTACAAGGCAGAGTGCTAAACCATTATAAATATTTTTATTTATTGATTTATAGATAACGTTCCATCGTGGCGCTGTCATCCCGAGGCCCTGCAGTACAAGGATAATTATAAAGCTTTAAAAGAACAATTGACGAGGCGTTTGTTCGAGGAATTTAATCGTGAAGTCTTCGACAACGGCCTGGACGCCGACATGCCCGTGTGCTGGGACACCAGGCTGCGGAGCACCGCCGGGTGAGTGTGGTCCCCAGGCCCCTGAAATTGCGATACTTTAAGACAAATATATGTTTTGTATGGAAACTAGCGACATCTTGTGGCGGATACCCCTAAACTTGTGCATGTTTAAGGTTAAGGCATTTCATTGTGGTTTAACTAAACACAGAAATTAAAAAAAAAAAAAACATACAAGTCTTTATAGACAAATTGATTAAAGGACAATGCCCAAATGTGGGCCAACTTTGTGTCAAAACTATTTGTACTTGAAAAACTGTGCCTTATTTTTTCACGTTGCTTAGTTTATGTATCAGCATTTCTTTGACCCTGGCATTGTTTTACAAAAAAATAAATTACTTATTTGATAACATCCGAAAACTGAGTAGGTACTTCCATCATTCATGGTTTTTAAATTCGCCAATAGGCAGACAAAGGGCTTAGCCCATACAGCCTTATAGTAAACCTAAATGCTGCCAAACGAAAGAGTTGTCTGTAACTTTAACAACAAATTAAAAAAAAAGCTAATGGTTACAATTCACAGACTTTTTTAGTTCATTTATTTATGTTCAATTCAATATTTATATATTATAATAATATTTTTTACTTAAAACCATGAATTATTTCATATTTTTAGACATTAATGGTTCCATTAGGAAAAATCCCAATGGCCCACTATTACTTATCTATGGTCAGAGAGTTTTGGCAGCAACCCGAGTTAAGCGTCACTTGAAGTTTTATTTTAATGTTTTTTTAATAGTTTATTGTGATGTGTAATATATAAATTGGGTGTTGTTTTGTGTATTTGTTATTTGTCAATAATTGTTTATTCACGTTCACGATTATTGAGGCATTGGAATAAAACTGTGGTTAACATAGCAGTGACTGCTCTTTTTTCAAGATAAAAGGTCTGCGGAAACTCACGCTCAGTCAATGTGCTATTCGTCGAGTTGACGTCAAAACTCCAAAAAACCAATAAAAAGAGATACACCGGCTTATTATTGAAATGAAAAAAATATAACTACAACGGATTAGGCTGTATAGGCTACGCTCTTTGCCTGCCTATTGGCGAATTTAAAAACAACAACAATATCGTTACCGGCTCCCGGATTTTCATTTTCGAAAGAAGGGTCAATGACATAGACTATACACTTAAGTCACATAGTTCATTCTCAGAAACCACCTTCATTTTATTATTATTATGAGGATATAATAATAATAAAATGTACATAAGGGCTTATTTCTAGCAACATTAACCACAATTAACTTATACTGTAACTAATTATGAGATCGATTATTGATTTCGAAGAAAACAATTACCAACTTAATTTTAGCTGCAGAAAAAAACAGATTTCTCTTAAACCTGGATGAGAATATAAAAATCGTTTTCTGAATGTGAAACAATATTTCTTTATCTATCAAATTACCTTAAAACCATCATGACATGACAACTTTTTTTAGGGGCCCAAACGCCCAAAATAATTGGGCATTGTCCTTTTATCAATTTGGGGTTTTTGGAAATTTCAAAAATCCTTCATTAAAAATAAAATATAGGATAGGTAATATGTTACTGCCATCTACAGGAGCAATGAGAAACTAAAGCGAAGCCATCTGGTGGAAGACGCTCGTAACTATCTTTGTTGAGTGCTTGAATTGCTTATCTGAAACTAATTTATGTGTGCTATCTATGGCTGCCCCGGTGTGACCGTCGCTTGTACTGTCGGCAGCACAACAACGAACCGGTTGATAAAGACGTCGAGCGGCGCCAGGATACGCGCGTGCAGCGTGAAGCTGAGCCACAAGGTGCTGGACTCCCCGCTGCGGCTGCGCGACACGCTCGTGCACGAGCTGGCGCACGCCGCCGCCTGGACCATCGACGGACACATCCGCGCCGGACACGGACCGCTCTGGCAGAAGTGGTCAGTGTAGTAGTAGCAGTAGTAGTTTTATTTTTCCAAATGGAAAGGCAAAGGTATCATACCATACAGCCTAGTCTTTTATATATTTGTTTTCTCCTACCTACGCCGAAAGTTCGGTTTTCCTCCCGCTGTACAGGGAAGAAAGTGTAACTTTTCCTCCCTGGGTACTGACAAGTGCGCATGCGCGTTAGTATCTACGTCTGCTCTCACGCACCTAAAATTCTCCGCCATTGTTGTGCTCGGGTAATTTTCAATATTGTGTTTAGTGTAAAAATGAAATAAACAAAAGGCAATAAAATTTCATGAATTTTATCAGATTTGATGAATTCATCAGACAGTTCTTATATAAGTAGTTTTTTTTTTTTTTATTGCCCTTGTAGACAGACGAGCATACGGTCGACCTGATGGTGAGTGGTTACCGTCGCCCATGGACTTCAGCAATGCCATGGACAGAACCAAGCCGCTGCCTACCGCATTACTACACCATTATTACACCTACTAGTATTAATTTATTTAAAAATAAAAAAACCGTTAAATTGTTATAAGTATGTAGTAACCCCCGCCCGGGTCCCACCGGGGCTTCGCCCCTGGACCCCGGCTCGGTACTCCACGAACTTTCGGCCTGGTAGGAGAAAAAATAGTATGTGCACCGCGGAGAACAGTAGGACATCTCATCCTGCGTGTTTGTTGTTTTACACGCGGGAGGAAATGTCCTACTGTTTTCCGCGGTGCACAATGTACTATTTTATTTTATGAAACATGATACTATGAAATGAAATGAAGTTGATTAATATGAAACATGGCATAAAATAAAATGAGATGAGATGATATAATATGGGATATTTTTATGGAAAATGATAATATGAGATGAAATTAAATGAAATGAGATGAGATTATTTGGGGTGAAATATAATCTCAGTAAAATGGTGGTCATTTACTGAGATTTTTTTTTCAGTAGACTTTTTGGAGGATCCCGAGAAGTTACGTTCAGCGGCTTTGTTTCATTTTCCCACATTTGTGCACTTTCACAGATATTAAACATTTAATAAACCACCGTTATTACACATTTAAATCTGAAGAAACACTAAATAGACAAAATAAAACAAATCACACAACTTCACTCTTTTTTTTTATTGCTGAGATGGGTGGACGAGCTCACAGCCCACTTGGTGTTAAGTGGTTACTGGAGCCCATAGACATTTACAACGTAAATGCGCCACTCACCTTGAGATTTAAGTTCTAAAGTTAGTTAGTTCTATAGTTACAACGGCTGCCCCGCCGAAACGCATTACTGCTTCACAGCAGAACTAGGCGGGGTGGTGGTACTTATCCGTTCCTCCTCGCGTTCCCGCCAAAAAGTCAAAAGTGGTCAGTGCTCTGGCTAGTGTTGCACCGCTGTGCTCTCACGGAGCCATGTTCCCAGGGCGCGGCGCGCGCTGCAAGTGTACCCGGAGCTGGGGGAGATCAGCCGCTGCCACGACATGCAGATACACTACAAGTACACGTACAAGTGCGCGCAGTGCGGATACAGGTCAGTCCTTACATAGGGGAGGGTACTTATTCTCCTTTGCATATCCGAGAGCTCATACATACATGTATTCATACACATGTCAACTCAACCATGTCACTTTTTTTTTTCTACGTTTTCTGGTAACCTCGAAGTGTTATTCTAGATTCATCGAACTAGTAGGTGAGCTCAAGGGGCTCAAACCGGAGTGTTGCTAACACTGACCCTAGCAAGACCAGTGCTTCGCAGAATCTACCACCGGATCGGAAACGCGACCCACTGAGAAGATCCGGCAAGAAACTCAGTGGGCTGTGTCTGAGGGTTAATTTACTCGTCGAGCACTTCGTCGCAAGCAACGGGTTCGACGAGGACGGGGACCGATGCTTGTGGTGCCTAAAAGCACTGTTAATGGATCGGGATGAACCGTAATGACTTTTTTAGGGCGACGTCGACTGTTTACCATTCGGTCCACAGGATCGGGTATGGATGTTACTCAACGCCTGTGCCTAAGTACTTGTATTTTCTAATTCTATTAATTATATAGTAAAACAAAATAGTAGAATAAAAGCTACGTCTCATCTCGTCATCATCGTCTACGAATTTGCTCATTTCTGCAATGAAATATCAGCTTAGAAAGTAATGTTTAATTGGCAGAAATATTAATGCGCGGCACAGCGGTTGATCGGGACAGTGACGCCTCCCCAATGTCCCAATTAATGCAGCCATTGCACTGACGTCGAGAGGTCTACCTGCGACCCCGCAGCCCCCCGTTGCCCCCCGGGGCAGGCAGCCAACCTCAACTAACCCAGACTGTTCACTTGCAGCATACAACGCCATTCGAAGTCCATAGACATCACGAAGAAGTGCTGTGGACATTGTCGGGGAACGTTCCAGCTGATTCTCAACAAGAAGACTAAAGAGGGGCTCGTGGTGTCCACCCCGGCGCGGTCCGGGGGCGCCGGCGGGTTCGCGGCCTTCGTCCGGGAGCACTACGCCACGCACAAGCCGGGCCGGGACCACGCCGCCGTCATGAAGATACTCAGCGAGGAGTTCGCCAGGAGCAAGGCGAGTTGACAGCTTGACGCGCCCTGTCAACTTGAGGTCCAGGGACGGATAAGCTGATTTCCACGAGCCGTTCCGTGTCTTAACACAAAAGTCAAACCACCCACAACGTTGATTAAGATCAACAATGTGGGTAGTTAGATTTTTGTGTATCGGATGTCAGAGAGATTGGTTTGACGTATGAAATGTTTTTAAAAACAAATGTCCGTATTCAACGACACTCGCAGGTAGATCTAACAATTAGACTTCGGTTTTATAAGACTTTTTTGAAAGTTGAAATGTTTAGTGTAAATAATGACTTGAGTCACGACAGCTCACAGCTCTCAGTAATTTTAGTGTAAATTAATCATAAATTCCTAGCGAATGTACCTACTGGGTGGCAGCCCTACGTGCTACTGGGTTGAATGAAACTTTTGTTGTAATATTTTATTTTGTAGAATAATTTACATTGAAAGTATTTTTAGGAAAATTGACCTTTTTTTTTAAAGAAAGTGTTATTATACTCTACTGGTGCGTACGTACGGACAAAACAAATTTACATTTATCAATCATTCGTTTATTTATTATTATTATTGTAATTTTATATTTTTAATTTTAGATAATGAATTTTCACTCTGTGTATGTCGACTGGAAGTGGCTATATTATAGATAGCACGTTGTGTAATTTGACTACTTAATTTGTTAATAGTTTAATTTATTTTTAATTTAACTTAGACGTTGTACTGGGTACAGTATTTAATAAATAAATTATATTAAGTTATCCCCGTTTTTGTATTTATTTTAAGATTTAATTTTAACAAACTGCTGACCTTTATTATAATATAAACTGACTTATGCATTAGATCAATTATTAATTTTCCTTAAAGCTCCGCTAGAGCAATCTCTACAAGAACAAAATGTAAGTTAAAATTGTTAACCGAACCAAACCAGAATTTTCAGTTCGAACAGCGCCCTTATCGGCAAACGTTCCGACACCATATAAATTTGAGTTAACTGTTTACGCTATCGAGAACGTTAAAAAACTCGCACTAAGCACACTGGTTTAAATTGACTCAACGTTAAAGATTACAAAAGGATAAAAAGACGTTGTGGCCTAGACACGGAGGCTGCGTAATTAGTGTGCTTAGTGCGAGTTTCTTAACGTTCTCGATAGCGTAAAAGTTAAGCCAATTTTGTATGCAATTGGAACAGCGCCCCTAGCGGCAAACGTAGGCAAACGACCCCATTCCATACAAATATGAGCTAACTTTTACGTTATCGAGAACGTTAAAAAACTCGCACTAAGCACACTGACTTCGGTCTCGTGTATTTTCTTGTTGCTATCACGGACAGACGAGCAGTACAGGTGGTCACCGTCAGCCATGAACTCAGCATGTCGTTGGGCTCAGGAATCACCGAGGAGGGAAGCAAATTGCAAAACTGGAGGGTACGTAGCGAAAATGATACTTTGAAACGTACCGAGGATTAACCTGACTCCGTTGGCGGTGCGATGGTCAAATGGAAAAAAGGATTAACTCGGACATTTTCTCAGAGCACTTTCCACAAAACGTATGGTACAAAATATAGAAAAAATCGTCCCTACGCTGACCAAAAACTTCCAAGCGAAGAGTCTCGAAACAAAGTGGCGGCGGATTTAAATGTCCGTTCGTTATAAAGGGCCTTATCATCCTTGGGCCTTGCATCGGCCCGTCGTTCGAGTTTTAATACACACAAATTATAGATAAGCAACTAAACACTCTCTCTACAAAAATAGTTACCAGCGTCTTCCACTAGATGGCTTCGCTTCGATTAGTTTCTCATTACTCCTGTAGATGGCAGTAACATATTACCTATCCTATATTTTATTTAATATTTTATAATGAAGGATTTTGTAAATTTGCAGAAACATAAATTGATATTAACCTATTTGTCTCTAACAAATAAAGACTTGTATGATTTATTAATTTTTTACTTTCTGTGTTTAGTTATACAATAATTAAATGTCTTAACTTTAACAACATATAAGTTTAGGGGCACCCGCTACAAGATGTCGCTAGTTTCCATACAGAAAAATGTTTGTCTTAAATTATCGCAGTTTCAGGGGCCTGTTCAGCCCAGGTGATGTTCATTCACGCAGCCCGCACCCACTTAAGGCTCCCTCCAAATTTTACAATGCCTCTATTGTATTAGTAGCGGCGGAGCACCGCATTATTTGAAGAGTGTGACCTTTACCACGTTCTAACTCTCGAACCCATCCGTAAGTATATAAAGTATATTGTTTACTGGTGGTAGGACCTCTTGTGAGTCCGCACGGGTAGATACAACCACCCCGAATATTTCTGCCGTGAAGCAGTAATGCGTTTCGCTTTGAAGGGTGGGGCAACCGTTGTAACTATACTGAGACCTTAAAACTTATATCTCAAGATGGGTGGCGCATTTACGTTGTAGATGTCTATGGGCTCCAGTAACCACTTTACACCAGGTGAGCTCGTCCACCCATATAAAGATAAAAAAAAAGTTGCAGCAGCCATATTACAGGTCGCTATACTCAGAGTGTCTTCGAATCTTCTGTGTTTCACGATTCCGATCCGACACCAGATGCGTTCGCAAAACAGTTGCCCCAAGCGGTTAGGCCTCCCTCGGAGTCACTCCGGCAATAGATTTGGCCCCGGTAACCGCTTAGCACCAGGCTGAGAGCCAGTTTTTCCACTTTAATGATTTCCTTTCCCCACGCCTCAATTCAAATTTCCCCTTCTCAGGGCTTTTTTACCCTCAAAAATTTTTCTGCTTTAGTTTTTACTTTTGGCCCTAGTGTAGTTAACGCTAATCCACGGTAGAGTTCATAAAAAGTTGTTTCGAAATTTACCGCAATATTTTAAGCTAGGTTTTACCCATGATTTCCCGCAATTTTCCCTTTTCCCTCCCTTATGGACCCTAATGTCCCCTCAAATGGGGAATTTCCCCTCATTGTGGAAGCACTGCTGAGAGTACCTACGTCTGCTCATCATCATGAGAATACAAGAATGAAACAACAAGTTGTCAATACGCTTTTTTTATTTATTGTTTTATATATAACCATTGTTCTCGTTAAATGATAAATGTAGGTACAGTCTTGAGTAATACAAAAAAAAATACAACAAAAGACTCGGCGTCCATAGTGTCAGGGTTCTATTACACCCAAAAGGTTATTTACAAATTAAAAAAAAACTTTGTGGCATCAGAAATGTCTTCCATTCATCCTTATATAAAATTTATTTACAGTATGCGAACCACGCGTCAATCTACAAAAACAGTCACTTAGATTTATATGCGTATAGAAAATATAATTTGTCGTTTGCCAAAGGGAGTAATCGTATGGATTAATTAAAAATAAATAAGGTAAGTAAATGTATTGAATTCTCATATAGGGATTGATATTCACACCACAAGCGATTTTTATCAATTTTAATACAAAAATAAATTTGGACGCATATTTTTTCTATCTAAGAATTACGTAATAACTTATTACAGTTGACAAAAGTAAGTACTTATTTTTGAATATTAACGCGTGGTGTTAATTAGGAATAAAATATGAGCATTTGTTTACAAATTAAGTTTTCAATTGATATTTGATAGTTTTGTCGTTTATAAATAATTATATTTTCACCTTAAATTCTCTTTACATTTATTTTTATACCTATCTATTCCACGTATTTGTAGTTAGTTTATAATTATACTTGAATACAGATGGTTTTTTTTTTCGTAAACATGAAACAATTTTAACAATACCACGTAAATGTACAACAATCCGATTAATCAAGACGTGAAATGAAGAAAAATTATTAATTTCATTGTTGAAATGCTTCAGCCATAACAGGTTTAAATTAAATTAAATTAAGTGATACTTTTTTAGGAATTTTTAAATTAAATTAGAATAATATATGTACATAAAATTATATAATTGTGGAATCAATAGAAATTTCAAAATGTATTTAATCGAAACTTTGAAAGACCCATATTACGATTAAAAACTACTGAAAAATCAAAATTACTGAAATAAATAAAAATACGAAGTCACACGTCATATGTCACTATGACATTGACAATCAAGTGTCAAATGAAACATCAAACTTATATTTTTCAATATGTCAACAAGAATAAATCATTTCTGTACTAACATTATGGCAGGACAATTGTTTGTAACTGGAATACCGTGCAGTAATATCTAGAAAGGGACAACGCATTATCCACAAAGATTGACGATGGCTTTTGTCAATTACCATTTACTTTGAATCAAACGAATTCGCAGTGGCCGGTGTGTCCGGGCGCTCCGAGCACGTCAGACGCGAACTGTGCTGATATCTATTGACATATCAGACGGTAGCAGCCTCTGTAGGCCTTCAGAGGCCCTACTACTAATAATAAACTAAAAAGACAAACTAATTATCAGACAACATTCGATCTGGATGATAAGTACTAACTATACCATTATTACGTTTCCTGATTGAGAAGATTGTCTAGTGTCATGAAATCTACAGGGCAAAATTAGTCTGCTGACTAGTTATAATTTATTAGGAAAAATAACATGGCTTCGTGTGAAAACTAATCTGGTAACACTCAATATTATAAAAATTCATTTTTCTCATGATATCGGTAATTATTTTTTATTATACTGACAACACAACATATTGATTGACATAAATCACAATTAAATGTCATTTTATTATAAATTTCTCGTCATTAAATATTTAAAAAGTAATATTGTTCGTATAAATATTATATTATTGTTTGAAATTAAATTACGTGTTGTACATTTTTTTAAGACTACAACCCACTTTTGCGAGACAAAATGGCATCTGTCAAAACACATAAAATAAGCGATACGGTAATGGTGATGCTATATGAATCGTAGGTTTCATGATTAAAAAAAAAACACTTCGAATTGTATCCCAAAAAAATTGTACAAAAACACTTAAAATTAAGACGATATAAATCTTAACTATGGACAGATTTGTTTGAAACAAAACCTTTACATCAATATCACATACAAGTTATGCTAGAGGACAATTTGCAACATGGCGGCCGCGCGGACTTCTGATAAATAACAACGGATAAACATTTTCATTTCCGTATTACGTCAAAATAAATACAGAAATAACATGAATAGCTGCTATTAATTATATTGTTAGTGTTGTTTGCAAAATTGTACAAGAGAACCCGAGCTTCGTGTTAGTATTCCGTGATTATTAAAACTAAAATCTAAGATGGCATTTCATGAACTTCTGAGTTCTGATGTTACACAAAATGGCGGTAGATTCATTGTCGTACCGGGATCGAGAACTAAAATTATTAGCTATATACACAAGGCCTTGTTTAAGTCGATTATTCTTAATATTAACCTAGCTACGAAACATTTACAATTTTACATAGTTCGTCCGTGCAAACGTGTCTAGAGTTTTGTTACGTGTTCTCGTCACGTCACGTCGCTGTTATTTAAAAACGGGTCAATTTTATTTTAGCGTTTGGAAAATGTCACACGTAACGCCGATAAATTTTTGCGTACTAATTAATAGACATAAAAAATAATCTATATTTACACACTGAAATACACAATAATTTATATTAATTCACTGTTTATTGCTCTTATAAGAGGCAATATCATCGTCAGAAACTTAGGTCATCTGCCGCGCTCGACAGATTAATGGTGAATCAGGTTTGCGAGGGTCCGTCTTCCAGCGACCTGAACCTGACGAAGCCATCTTGCGCCACCAGCATGCTGCTGCCCGCCTCGTTGGGGATCTCGTCTTGAGGCTGGGAATACGAGACCTCATAGCTACAGTTCCGCGGAGCCGGCTGGGGCGTCCCCATCCCGTGAGGATACTTTCCGGGCTCCTCGAACCCGTACAGATCAGTCGACTTCGGTCTGTCCGGGAATGGATTCGCCTTACCACGTTTTTGGCTACCACTCGAATTGACCATAGAGGTCGATGGAGAGTGCCGACGCTGCGAGGTCCTTACCGGACATTCGTTGCTGTAGTTCCTGTTAGGGTTGAGGGTCTGTATTCCGGACGTGTGGTAGGAGGCGTTCTCTGTGTTGTAGTTGCCGTACTCGTCCGGCACGTGCGGCTGGTGGTAGTGGTGGCCGGCGGCGGAGTCGTAGCCCATGGTCATGCAATTTTGAACGTTTTTGTTTTTCGCTCTGTGCTTTTTCCGGGGATTGCTGTTCGTTCTAGAGGACGTCCTGTCGTAGGACATGTGCTTGAAATTGTGCGAGGACCTGTTGGAGCCGCCGTTGTAGTTCTGGTTTTTGATATCTCGAATGAAGTCACTGTTGCTACCGTATTGGATGACGTTGTATTCGTGATCCAACGGGTCGTCTCCTTGCAAGCTCTGTATTGCGGGGTCGCAGTTCGAGTAGTGGTCGTCGGACGCAGACTCCATGCCGTTGTACCCCATATTTGGGTGGTGCTTGATCAAATGGTTGGTCACGCCCTGGCTGGAAGCCGCGTTGCTAGATTCCGTTGAACTGCTGTGGCCAGCGTTAGCTATAGAACTATGGCCGGAGTAATTTTCAGTACCGGAATTATTATCACACGGACCAGACAAGGTATTGAGGAACCTTGGGTGGTCCATAGGTCCACAACATGGTTCCACCATGTTCGGATGATGCCCGGCACTTTCATATATCGGTTTACCAGTTCTTAACGTGTACGTATGAAGATTTGTGTTAGTATTACATATGGCTGGATAGTCAGACTCAAATTGTTCATTACTAGATCCAGCCCCGCACGTGAAAAGGCCCAAGCCTGGAATTTTGCTGCCGTCAGCCTTTTCATGCTGCAGCGGACCAACGCCTACCTTCAAACTTATCACCCAAGATATTAACGCTACTATGCTGATCTCTATCAGCCTCAAGGAGAACTGGTACCCCCACTGCAGCCAGTTAAATTTACTCATGTTCACCTGATTTATACCAAATATACCATAAACTTGCAACGTTGCCATTAGTATAAAAAGCAAGGCAGTCGCCAAATTTATATGTATAGCCTGATATAGATTTTGGAAGCCATTTATGTACGTGTGACTTTTCTTTTGTAAAACCGTCTTAAGCATTTTGAACACGTACAAATAACCCAGACCTAAAGTTAGACACGCAATTATGAAGATAATTTCGCAGGTCAGACCTAAGATTCTCTTTTCTGAGTTCTGCGTTTTGTATATGGTGCTATTGGTTTCGAGTATGTGCAACATCACGCACAGCAGCACGTGGACCCCGCCCCCCGCGATTATGACCCTGGGCCGGAGCAGAAACGAACAGCAGTTGTTCTTGAAGTTCATGCTGTGTACGAGCAAGAAGAGGATGGTACAAGCGAAAGCTATGCTCAAGAATATTTCGGGAATGTGAAGCAAAATTTCACTGATGAAAATCGGTAGTGAATTATTAATGTTATAAGGATCGTAGCACATGTAGAATATCCTCATCAAACAAACGAAAACTAATATCAAATGGAGTATGATGAAGTAGTATTGAGTGAAGAGGTGGGTGAACTTATTGTAGCATATGATTTTAAAGATTGAGTAGACGGCCAATATCGTGAACATGACCGTCGCGAAATAGATGTGCACATTCCAGGCGAAGGGCCAGGTCGCGCCCTGCCGCTGCACCGCGCCGCCGCCCTTCGGATCCTGCTTCAGGATCTTCTTGTCCGAGTTGACGTTGGCGAGGTTGTGGTACCTCTCAGTGGACATCTCGGGGTCTTTTAGCTCGAACCCTACCGTCGTCCCTGGCGTGTACTCTTTCTTGGTTTCGTTTTTAGTAGAATATTGTATGTTTCTCCTGGTATTAGTTTCGCCGTTTTGATCTATGATCAACGGCCGGTCTAGATTGTTCATGTCTGGATCTAGGACTGGTAACACTGATCCTTCAGTGGATGTGTCTTTGTTGGTATCACTGAGAGTGACGCCAACGTCTTTTGTAACAAAAATGTCACTTTTCGAGGTCTTCTCCTGGCTGTGTTGAGGTTTAGTCGTTACTGTCCTGAGCAGGACATCCGGAATGTCCTCTTTCCTGCCGTTAGATCCGGACAGTATCCGAGTTATGGCAGGAATGTCGAGTGAATTCGGAACAAAGTCCGTAAAGTTGGCTTGGGATTGTTTACCGTCAGGTTCTAGTTCGTCCGGCTGGAAAGAAAATTTTCAATTTATTTTTTGTTACTATTTAAAGTATTTATGTTAGTATTTATGGTATAGTATTTATAGTATATGTGTCGTCGTGGCCTAAAGGATAAGACGACCGGTGCATTCGTATCTAGCGATGCACCGGTGTTCGAATCCCGCAGGCGGGTACCAATTTTTCTATGTACTTAACAAATGTTCACGATTGAATTCCACGATGAAGGAATAACATCGTGTAATAAAAATCAAACCCGCAAAATTATAATTTGCGTAATTCCTGGTGGTAGTCCGCACGGGTAGGTACTACCGCCTTGCCTATTTCAGCCGTGAAGTAGCGTTTCGGTTTGAAGGGCGGGGCAGCCGTTGTACTGAGACCTTAGAATTCATATCTCAAGGTGAGTAGCGCATTTACGTTGTAGATGTCTATGGGCTCCAGTAACCACTTAACACCAGGTGGGCTGTGAGCTCATACACCTACCTATGCAATAAAAAACAAAAAAAAGTTTAGAGGAATCACAATTGCGAGATAAGTACTTAAAATGAGTTCACCATATTATTTCAGATGCCTTAAGGGGGAGTGCTGTAATATATTTACCTTATGGCTAGGAGTGTTGAGCGGTATCTTCCTGTGTGTGACGTCAGGTGCGGCGGGGGGCGCGGGGGGCGGCGCCGGCACCTGCGGGGGAGAGCTCTCCTGAAACAATTATCAAGTTATGCCTCAGAAATGTTGTTCTAATGCTTGTCGAGGTAGGATTATAACTAATGGTGCGATTACTGCGAACTAAATCATAGCTCTACTGGCATTACATGTGCCAGGAGCCCATAGACCGATGTCTGTCTCGATAGATATGAAGTCGAAGTTTCAATTCCATCCTAAATAACGATTGTTTCACCCTTCGGACTTGACCTACCCACACCGCTCACAAGATGATAATAATTCCACAAATTTTACATACGTTGGAACTAGGATTTAGTATTTACCTGCCTAGGGGATACGACGGAGTCGTGGCACAAAGTGATACATAAGATATTAACCTTATTGGCGAAATCGCTGGGAACGTTTCCATTTTATAAACCAATCATTTTTTTTTTTCAATTTTTAGAATCCTATTTTACCGCACCCTAAAAATTTCTTTTCTAGGATTTTAGGGCTTTTCTAGGATACTCGGAAGAGCATTTTCTTTTATATTTCTTATTCACTTGGATCGATTTTTTCTGAAATTATGTTACATTAGGGCTTACAGCGCTGGGAGGTTTTCAGTAGATACCCACTCTCACACTATCCACGAAGCTGTCCCATGTGTGATTTAGGGGTTATCATCACATTGGTTGCTCGTCACAATCGAAAGGTTCACGAGTTTTGGACTGATCCACTTGCTTCCATTCACAGATACAAAATGAAAGCTGCCGAATTCAGACATGACGCCGAAGTCACAATAACAGTGGGGATGGCAGGCAATAAATAGCACAAACAGAATATGCCCCTCTCACCTGTCCCGGAGGTCTGATCGGTATCCTCTCGTGTCCCGGCCCCAGGGAGGGGGGAGGTATGGGCCTCCTGTTAAGATAATTGTTCCCGTCTGTGTTCGTGCCTGAAATCAAATAAAACACTTATAAGAATTTATAAGTTAGTATGTCAGTAAAACCTAATGGAGATAGGTTGAAAGCGCTGACGTCACCATCATCTCATGCACTGCAACGCAATATGTTAATGATATAGGGAATCATATTATTTGTGAGAACAATATATATTCGTCCAGAGCTTCTTCCTAATTAAGCGTAACTGTTTTTTAAAGGCTTTTACTGTTAATTTTTATAAGCTAGATAGATTTATCTTTGTACCGCGTTTTCATAAAAAATAATTAATCTAACATTCACGGGCGTCCATTTTTTGGCTCTTACTCCTCCTTCAGTCGCGCTCTTCATGACTGAGGGTCGTGACCATCTCCACCCATTACTTTCTTACTCTCGTTGTTTTTGGACCATAACAGATTTGTAAGATAATAAACCCACCTCTAAGTGTCGGCTTATCGGCAAATGGGTTTTTGTATTCCGGTGGCAAAGGCGGTGTGAAGAACGCTCGTCCGGGAGGCGCGTACGAAGGCACCGCCCCGACGCCCGCCAGCAGGGAGGCTCCATGATGCTGGGGCGGTCTGAGTACAAAAATAGATTATTACAAAAGTTTGAATCGTACAATCGCAATCAGACCCGCAAAATCAATTAACTTCTGAAATGGCTGAAGTCTAGGACGTATAATGCGAGCCTGTACGACTTGATACTACATCTCTACCTATTTTCAAGGTAGAGTCCTGATGGTACGGGATACCGCAATTCCACGTAGGAAACCCACTATCTTGCCTATTTCTAGCAAGAATATCATGTGTTGTAAGTAATAAAGCCGCAAAACCGGTGGAGACACCAACATCAAAGGCACCGGTGGCCGCTTAGCACCGAACGGAACGTGACTTTGCACCAAATAAACGTGTTAATTTGGACTAGAGGTCCTGGAGTAGTCGAAATTCGACTATAATTAATTGGAATTGTAAGTTTGTACACTACTATAATCACAAATTTCGCCAATACTACACTATATAAAATATTAACAAAGACAAACAATATCTAATCTCAATTTGACAACAGACGTCAAGAACAAAAGTTTGACAATAAATAGTATGCATGCGTGTGTGCGTCAAATACATGGTATGTAGTGTGTGTAATGTTTTCTTTATTGATTTAATGTATCTTTTATGCATTATTTAAAAAAAAATATTAGCATTGTGCACTTCTTCTCTATATTCTTTATAAGTGTGGAAAATTTCATACTCCTCCGTCCGCAATTTTCGTAAAAAGGGATACAAAGTTTTTGCTTCACGTATTAATATATAGATAACGGATTACTAATATACATACTGCAATAAGGAATTCGTAGGATTTTAAGTTAGCAAGCCAGTTTAAACTAAGTAAGGTCTTTCGACGCGAGTTCTAAAATGAAAGATGACCACAAAACTTAGTTTAAAATTCTAAACGTGTTTAACAGCAGTATAAATTATCAATAAACGCCTTAAAATGCTTGTAGCTGCTTTGAATTGCATGCTGTTTACATTTAAACGTTGTTGTTCGGGAATCATTGATGTTATCAAGACATTAGGGTTGGTGTATCTGTTCTGCGACGAACACTAATGCCTTCCGGCTTGAAGAGTGCAACAACTGTTAGACAGCGCAGTTAAGAGACCGACATTGGTGTGTCTATGGACCCCGGTAGCTGCTTATCAACAGCGGGCCTTTTTTTTTATTGGTGTTACCTGGTATTAAGTGGTTACTGGAGCCCATAGACATCAACAACGTAAATGCGCCACTCATCTTGAGATATAAGTTCTAAGGTCTCAGTATAGTTACAACGGCTGCCCCACCCTTCAAACTGAAACGCATTAACTGCTTCACGGCAGAAATAGGCGGGGTGGTGGTACCTACCCGTGCGGACCCACAAGAGGTCCTACCACCAGTAAACTCACAAGAGGTCCTACACCAGCCTTGTAAAGTAAGGGCCTTGAGATTCTTCACCCCTTTAAAGCAACGAAGATGTCCTTATTATTGGAAATAAGTTGGATTGCGGTACCAACAGACAGACACAGCTGTGCCCTGAGTATGATTTTCAAATTATCTTCTTAAGTTTTTATCTAACTTAACCATTTGTGTTGTTGCCAATTCTCTTATTCTCGTATGAACTGCTCGTTTCGCTTTTATAGTTTGTGGTAGCCCTAAGAATACATAAGTGTCGCTGACCTTTAGCGACCATTTATTAAGACCCGTCAGTCGATATTGTGACCGAACAAGTCGAGTTCCAAGTAAAGCGTTATGGAAATGTCAAAAATTGGCGAAACGCCCGCTGTTTCGCGTTCAACGCTTTATTTTCAGTACGCGAAATGAATTTTAATGGAACTTTGGGAAAAAAATCCGCATCGAACGCGAACGCGGTGGGAAATGGCCACTTGTAGAATCCCGCAGTGAGCAGATGGTGAAATAAAACAAAGGTACTTAGTCATCAACAGCAATTATCTAACATACATACCACATCTAACAGGCGGGTATCAATTTTTCTAATAAAGTACGTACTCCACAAATGTTCACGATTGACTTTCACGGTGAAGGAATAACATCGTGTAATAAAAATCAAACCCGCAAAATTATAATTTGTGTAATTACTGGTTACCACCACTTATGGTTACGGTTACGGTATTTCTGCCGTGAAGCAGTAATGCGTTTCGGTTTGAAGGGTGAGGCAGCCGTTGTAACTATAGGTATACTGAGACCTTAGAACTTATATCTCAAGGTGGGTGGCGCATTTACGTTGTGGATGTCTATGGGCTCCAGTAATCACTTAACACCAGGTGGGCTGTGAGCTCGTCCACCCATCTAAGCAATAAAAAAAAAGATACATTTTGGGTCCTAAGTTACAGAATGGATTTCATTAAATCCGTGACATTCACAACTAACCTTCCCGCAGTCCACAGAAAACAACACGAACACTACCAATGTCATGAAAATATTAATTCAAGACTTTATTACTCTGTATCGATAGAGGGAATCACTGATGTATCGTGAGTCTGTACGGGTAGATGACGTAAAAAATACTTTAAATACAGGATTAGATTCTATAGCGCCACGATAGAATTGTGGAACTGACCCACATGTTACATTACAGTGACATTGCACCCAGCGACTTATGAAAGCCGTGCTATTTGAAAAGTTAATACAAAAGCTTTACCGTCACAGATATTCCATCGAGATTTGAAAAATCTTTATAGTTACGGCATTTTTGAACGGATCCGATCCATTTTTACGATTTCATCTCGATACCAGTTCTGATGAAGGTTATAAAACTAAATAGAATTGCAATGGAATAAACAAAAAGCAAATTCCATTTTGCGTTCGGTAATTTGTGAAGTTCTGCTTTCTGACGATAGATGGCTCTCATATTATTTATTCGTCTAACAATATTGGATCCGAAATAAAATTAATTTAAATATATACACGTGTAGTTTTAGCTGAACGAAATATTGCCTTCGTTAAATTAACTATTACTTTATTCAAGTTTGTTGATGTTTAGTGAATACAATGTTACGGCTATTGATCGCTAGGTGGCAGGGCAAGTGACTGCAGATATATAAATTAGCTCATTGTTTAGACACACACAACCGTCACAACATGTCTCATATTCACAATGCGTTGTCGACAAACGCGGATACAGCCCGATTGATGTTAAGTAGTGAGCATTGTCCGTTATTTCATTGTCCACATAGACGATCTCAACATGAGCATTACAACTCAAAGCGAGGCATTTGGCAATGAAAAGAGAGTAAAATCCCGAACAATGCTAGTTCCGCTGAACAATAGGGGCTTAAGATTAATGATTGTCTTAAGCGACAGAAAGACTGGGGAAAAACTCTCGAGATTCAACCGAGATTCTTGATGTTTGGTACATATTTATACTTATTCGAATTCAATTTGACTGGTTTCTTTAACACCAATCAGGATTTCGAAGTCTGCCTCTGAGCTTATTAGAGTTTTAGTACATCCACACTAATTATAGATAACGCCGAGCCGCCTGTTGTAGCGAAAGACTGATGCATTTTAGTTTCATGTGTGGTCATCTTTTGTATTCACAATTGAAAATTCGACCTTATGTCTGTGGGTGAGTGGCGGAATTTGCGTTGTGGTATCTATGCGATCCGGTAACAACTTAGCACCAGTTGAAGCGTGACCTGCCAATATTAGGTAATATAAAAACTCTATAGTAGCAATCCGATGGATCTATAATTAACTGATTTTTTATTACTTATTTTGTTCTATTTTTTACTTGTTGGAAGTAGTGCCTAACAGTGGCCTTAAATTTAGAACTACTACTATACAAATGACTAATAACAAGTATTTTTTTATTGCTCCTGTAGCGAGCATACGGCCCACCTGATGGTGAGTGGTTACCGTCCCCCGTGGACTTCAGCAATGTCAAGAATAGAGCCAAGCCGCTGAATACCGTTAAGTACTCTCCACAAGCCTCGTTTGAAGAAGGACATGTCATGGCGCTCAGGAAACCCTTTGGAGGGAAGCTCATTACAAAGTCGAATGGTACGTGCCAAAAAAAAAACTCTGGAAACGCCCTGTGGATGAACGCAGTGGCCCCAGGTAGTATGGACGAACTCTACTCCGGTGACCGGCGGTGCGATGGTAAAAACGATATGATGGAATCATTTCTCCTCACAGCACTCCCCGAATCTCCACAATTCTACACAATTTGTTAAATAGTTTAGTGTACAGAGCGACCGAAAGTCCAGAAGTGGCATAGAGTACTAATATAGTATGTCTATGAAGATTTATGTAAATAAGTATTTACCATGTAATGGTCTTGCCATAGGCAACGACAATGATGGACGCCACCGTGTGTCGTAATTTAAAATAAGTGTTTTTTCGGGCAATGAGATAAGACATCATTCGCAGACAGAAAAGTTATCGCCGAGAAAAAATGAAACCCGACAATTAACGTCGAAAAATAAATTTTAATAAATTTACTTACACTATTTTTAATTCAAATTTATTAAAGTTTATTTTCTATTTTCTAGTTGAATTTTCTATAAAAGCGTCCTTATTTAGTTAGTTTTTTAAAACTATTATTTATTTTTCATTTTTTAGTTGAATTCCTATATTAAAAAAAAAAAAAAATTTTTAATATTGAATTGTCATCGGTCCTTAGTAAGCATACCAAATTTCGAGTTTATCCGACGTTTTGAAAGGGGTCAAAAACATGTTCAAAGATTCCGTTACAAACATATACATACAAACGTCTGTAGCTAATAAAAAAGCGTATTAAAAAAGTACTAAGACTAGATTGTAATATTGTGATTTTCTTATGTTTGTTACAACAAACCATTGCCTTTTTGTTCCCGCTTTCATCTTGCGAATCGAACCAAACGCGTCATTACATCAACATGGCCGGAATGGACGTTGTTATGCAAAAAGGAACCAATCAAAATCGTCGTAAATGTGTTTATACAAGAACGTTACACAGAATCAATTTGATCGTCCAGTAAACAAATCATTTCAGAAAACAAAGGTATCAAGTTGTGGCAAAGCGGTCATTTCGATGTGACTGGAAATTATTTGTTCGCTATTGCCAGTTCCACAGCAGTTTATTAGCATTGTTAATGACATTGACGTTTGTAGGCCATGCGCGTTATAGGAAATACGATTTAGGAACGTATTGCTTGTTTTCTAAAGTTTCCCAATTTTTTCCTTTACGCCCCCAAATCCCTTGGGAGTCGTCAATCGACAAAGAAAACCGCATGTAGTCTTCGTTTTCACATGTCAACAGTTTATTATTTGCTTTTACAATTGTTTGCTTGTTGTCTGTAAACATTGTGTCAGAACTTTTTGCTTGCTGTTCGGAAATCACCATTTTTATTTGGCAATTATATATGAATTTGTCTGCTGCTTTGAGCTTTCAGTGCTCCTGGCACTTAAGGTGACCTTGACAATTCATTTCAGTAGCGCTGAGGAATATCAATGCGAATGTCATAACGCTCTGAAGCGCCATCTATGCTTAGATGTACCACCACAGCTGCACAAAATCAAATTTCGACTTTCACTGATTTTTAAATAGATGTACGATCCGCTTTTAATCCACATTGCTTAAAACGCATCGAGCTTTTTTCTATTGACGAAACCCCTCGAAACTTTTTCATTACAGTAGGCCGGGAAGCTTTCAATAGGAAATAAACTTTTTTCGAAGCTTGTTTAAAACTAAGTTTCCTTGTAAGAAAATACTGGCTTTCATGTTATTTTTCTTGGGGGAATCAATTAAGCGCATTGATATCGATGTGTTCGTGGAATCGCGCGCGGATTTTAAGTTCGTAACGCAGGTTTGGGTCTGCATGTACCGGCGCGGGGACCACGGAGATAATTGTTGTTATTGCTTTGATTATTGCACTAGGTCACGGCCCAATTAGTACAAAGTGGTTACCAGAGCCTCATGAGCAAACAATATCACAACATGAATGCCGCCACCGCCCTTAATACTCGAGGTCTATCACTTAATTGTATAATAACTACGTGATATACAAATTTAGCGGATTTCAACGTGCAAATCTAGAAAAAAATGGTACCTGCCTGTGGGATTCGAACACCGGCACAGCTGTATCGCTTTATACAAATATACCGGATGTCTTACCCTTTAGGCCCCGATGGCTTTAAAGCCATATATCCATTGTTGAATTGACAATTTGCTCGTCTAGGCTAGAAAACCGGGAGGAGTGGTGATTGCTCGTGAGACGCATAGCATCTGCCAACAGCAATGATACTGAATGACGACCACAACTGCTCTGATAATAGTGATACGACAAAGGAATGGCGAAGTGTTCTAAAGTGTTTTTAATTGAATCCCTGCGGTTTAAACGTTCTCTCCGGCTACATACCTGGGCTTGTGGTACGTGGGGTTGCTGTTAGTCTTGAGTATGTCCGCGTTGGGCACGGAAGTCGGCAGCGCGTGCTCTCTCTCCAACTCGCTTTCGTAGCTCTCCAACGGGACATGCTTGCCCGGCAGTGGATCAGCTGAAATAAAACAGTTCACTTGTTGAAATAATGATATTTTTTTTATTATTGCTTAGATGGGTGGACGAGCTCACAGCCCACCTGGTGTTAAGTGGCTACCGGAACCCATAGACATCTACAACGTAAATGCCGCCGCCTACCTTGAGGTATAAGTTCTAATGTCTCAGTATAGTTACAACGGCTGCCCCACCATTCAAACCGAAACGCATTACTACTTCACGGCAGAAATAAGTGGTGGTATCTACCCGTGCGGACTCACAAGACGTCCTACCACCAGTAATGAAATGGTATTATATGCTTTTGTATCTGGAAGACAATAGAGACGGTTTAGTACCATTTAGAATAAAAATACTAAATTTCCAACATACTCATGACACAAACACAATTTCTTATTGGTATCTGCACTAAGCCGAGCTGGTATCGCAAGAGAAGGTTTTCTATTCATCACCAGTAACAGACTGGTTACTGGGTTCGTTACTGATAGTAAGTAAACTTAAGAGGCAGGGTAATAAACTCATAGGAACAAAATCGCTCGAGTTACTATTGAACAAGAATTTCCTTGTATCCATTAAGCATCTATTGTTTAGATTGAAAGCACCCGAGAGCTTTCTCGGTATCCGTTTGTTTACCTAAACCTCCCTTGTGTTAGTTAAAACGCTTTAAGTGTTAACATAAACAAAACGACAGACAGGAAATTCAATATTTATGTTTCAATAATGCTGTAACCTAACCTAGCACTAACTGTCGCATCATCATCCTATAGCTGTCTCCTGCTGATAATCGGTCTCTCTAATTGCATGGCACTGAGCAGGATCCTCGAGTATTTTTATGAAGGAGGGATTACTGGTGGCCCGAAGGCCTTTCCAGTTTCACCAGGACAGGTGGTCGAGCAAAGGCTCAGCCAGGAGAAATGGGATTTGCCACCGAGCGCCTCCGAAGGAACCTAACAACTTCTTTATTTTTTTCCTAACTAAGCTGATATGAGCCTGAGCCTTGAGAGGCTATATCATCGTCGCCTTAACTAGTAAGTGAGCTCACGGGGCTCAAACCTGGTGACGTTGCTAACACGAACCCTAGCAAGAGCAGTGCTTCGCAGAATCTACCACCGGATCGGAAACGCGACCCACTGAGAAGATCCGGCGAGAAACTCAGTGGGCTGTTGTCTGAGGGTTACAACTCAAGAGCAACTGCTTCGCGAATTAATCTATACATCGTTTAAAAGTCCACTTTATAGCTCCACTAATAAGCGCATTTCTTCAGTAGAAGACCAGACTGACCAGAGTACATTTTTGAAAATTTGATATATGTTCGTAAATATATAGAGGAGTTTCCTAAAAAGTCTGACTTACATAATAGAAATACTAGGAACAGACACAAGCTTGATGTGCCGATGAGTAGGTTACATAAGATACGAAATTCATTCGGGTGTTTGTCTGTGCGCCTGTACAAAAAAATCCCACAAGTTGTTCAGAACCTACATATACATAGGTTTAAGAAAACTATTAAAGAACATCTGTGCAATAGAGCTTACTATAAAGTCAATGATTAGGTATCTAGAAGATTGCACAAATTGGGGATGTGTTGCTCCGGGCATTTCAATATTGCAATAATTGTTACCTCTTGCAAAAATGAATACTTAAAAAAAATCTAATATTTAAAAAAAAAGACATGCCCGCTGAGTTTCTTGCCAGTTCTTCTCAGGACGGAGGCTAGTCTTTGTGAATTGGCGGTAGTTCTTTTTGACGTCCAACAAGTATGTACTTTTGTTTATGTTGAATAAAAAAAAAATGATTTGATGTAACCTTTGCGAAGTATATCTTTGTTGGTGGGCGTCCCATACCACGCCTGTTACACTGATGCATCACAAGCCCACATTTGCGCACCGCTATTAAAGATCCGATAGATAGTATCCACTGAGTCATAAGATTATTTAATGCATTATGCGCTGTTGTTTTAATCGTTTGACGTGAATTATAGTGTGCATATCGTCAAAGTTGACTTGTTCAACCACCATTTCGATCAATTGATTTTTAGGTAATTATTTAGGACTTAAAAAAAAAGGAGATTCTCAATCCGACTTTTGTCTGAGGTTTTGTTTTTGTTCTAGATGAGCCGATTTTGATAATTCTTTTTTATTATTTAAAAGCTAGTGCATCTCGCTTGATACCACTTTAAATTATCCTCTCTTAAAATATCTGATCAGTAATTTCTGTGTTAATATTCATAATGCATATACAATTGTCTTCGACTACATCAATGTTCTTAAATTAAGTTGAACGCCTTATCGCTTTGATATCAACACTACTACAAGATAGTGGTAGCCTATTACTGGTGGTAAGACCACTTGTGAGTCCGTGCGGATAGGTACCACCGCCCTGCCTATTTCTGCCGTGAAGCAGTAATGCGTTTCGGTTTGAAGGGTGGAGCAGCCGTTGTAACTATACTGGGACTTTAGAACTTGTATCTTAAGGTGGGTGGCGCGTCTACGTTGTAGATGTCTATGGGCTCCAGTAACCACTTAGCACCAGGAGAGCTGTGAGCTCGTACACGAATCTAAACAATAAAAAAATAAATTAAAAAAAGCCTCCCAATTTACTCCAGTAATTACGCGCTTGTTTGCTACATTTTGTTACACGACATCGCTCCTTCTCCTGGGAAGTCGTTAATGAAAGCGTGTCTCGCACGTTAGAAAAGCTAAAATACTTCATAACATCGTGTGTGTGCATTTTTTAAATACATTTTTATGACCTACCCACAACCCAAACGAATTTTAATTAATTGCATCGCATACATAAAGATCCATATACAGAATGGGAAAATGAAAGCGTGGAATTCCAAAAATGTCCATCGTGGCAGTAGCGATATAGTAAAACCTATATATTAAACCATCCATGTAAACCATCCACTTTATTACACTCACGCGCACTTACACACATCGACACCACACAATCAGATTCAAACTTATTCTGCAAGTTATCATTCGACAAAATTTATCTACCTATTTAACTGCCTTACCTTTACCTTAGTTAACATTTTTTGGAAACATAATGTGATTCTTTAATTGGCTCATGTTTGGGAAAACATCCTCTGTACCCTGTGTCTAGTTAAATGCTGTTGAAACATTGTCGATTAAATAAATAAATATTAAAATATTTCAATGAAATTTAAACATTAAAACCGAGTGACCGTAAAAATCAAACATGCATGTCTATACATATACGTCATCATCATCATTCCTTCCTATTACCCTCTGCTGGGGTGTAGGGCTCGAATCAAATTTTTCCATTTACATCGGTCTTGGGCAGTCTGTTCTAGCTCCTTCCACGTCATGCCCGAGACCTCTAGCTCCTGCTCCACCGAGCGACGCCAAGTTGTTCTGGAGCGGCCTCTCTTCCTCTTGCCAGACACTTTCCAGGTCAGTGCTCTCTTTGATAGGTGGGTATCGGGCTTTCTCAAAATGTGACCAATCCAATGCCAATGCCACTTCCACATGCACAATACATATACGTACATACGAGAATATATGTTTTCTAATCAAAACTGACAGCTTGCAAACGAACTAGGTCGAGTGAGAAATGAAATATATGTACTTTTTGTACACGGTCGGTGAATAAAGAACCGTTGTAGCAATATTACAACGAAAAATCATTATGTTTTGTTGTGAACTTTTTATGATTAGCCGGTAAATAACGTTCGCGGTTTAATGTGACTGTACTAATTATTATTTATTATTGCTTAGATGGGTGGACGAGCTCACAGCCCACCTGGTGTTAAGTGGTTACTGGAGCCCATAGACATCTACAACGTAAATGCGCCACCCACCTTGAGATATAAGTTCTAAGATCTCAGTATAGTTACAACGGCTACACCAACCTTCAGACCGAAACGCATTACTTACTGCTTCACAGCAGAAATAGGCAGGGTGGGGGTACCTACCCGCGCGGACTCACAAGAGGGCCTACCACCAGTAAAAAATTACATGAAAAACGTCATTTTCTTGTTACGACTTACGCGTCACCTATCTTCCTTGATGGTGCTACGACAGAAACCTTCCTTGAAGTGGAAGTACCAGACTTCATCTAATTCCGATTAACAGTTAAGACACGTATGACGCATAGAGGACATGAAATTTACAAATTATAAAAAGATTTAGTTTTATTTATTTTGAAGACAGATATAAGAAGAGGCTTGAAACTCATTCATTAAAGTATACTTGAGTAAGTATACTTGAGACTTTAGAACTTATATCTCAAGGTGGGTGTAGCATTTATTTTTATTATTTTTTATTTATTTATCTCCAGGTGGGCTGCGTGAGCTCGTCCACGCATCTAAACAATAAATAAATAAAAGTTACGTGATAAAAGTTTTCTTCTCTACAGGTTAAACTGTAGCCAGATGGCATCGGACCACATAAAATGCCGTTGTACATAAAGTCGATTTCAGAACGCAGATTAGCTTCGAGATATAAACGAGAAAGTTGCTGGTTGCACCAAAACAACACACTACTTAAGTACTTCTGCGTAATTTTAATCATTCCTCTTGACAGATAATTTGCTCAATAATCAAGCAATACTTAAATAAATTACCGATTTTTTTTATTTTTTTTTATTGCTTAGATGGGTGGACGAGCTCACAGCCCACCTGATATTAAGTGGTTACTGGAGCCCATAGACATCTACGACGTAAATGCGCCACCCACCTTGAGATATAAGTTCTAAGGTGTCAGTATAGTTACAACGGCTGCCCCACCCTTCAAACCGAAACGCATCACGGCAGAAATAGGCGGGACGGTGGTACCTACCCGTGCTGACTCACAAGAAGTCCTACCACCAGTAATTATGCAACTTATAAAAATCTTATTACTTATATAATTACTACTTATATAAATTTTAATCAAACTAGGTCTTTAAAGTATGAAGAATAGAGAAGGAACTGGTGTTTATATTTCGATACAGGAACTAAAGGTTTATTATTATAGCCTAAAACCATATATAACCGGA